CTGGACTATCTTACCTTCAAATTCCTTCTTCTTCACTGAATTAGGCTATAGGGTACATCTAGCATCCAGAAACTGATTCAAGTAAAGGTAAAGGACGACCCAGCATTTATGGGGTAATTTGATCCCCAGATGGTTAATGAGCATGTAAGAGCATAGAGCCTCATACCCAAATATTCAATTCCATCCTAACGTAACAATGAAAAAAAATACTTTCAGTACCATAACGGGCCTTGCCAAATCTCTACATGGCTTTATCCTATCGATTCTATAAGTCAAGTCACTGACAGCATCACTGACAGCTATCAAAAGCCAGAGGTCATGCTCCCCAAGCAAATGAGGGTCAAACTTTATAATCTCACTCTACATCCATCTCATCACCTTCCAATCCCTTTATGTGCCTACCTCCTGGGAGAAGGGGCAAAGACTGAAAGGAAAGATCCTGCCTCATTGGCATGTGGGAAATAAAACTACAGAGAACAATCTTGCCCTTCTGGGTTGGGGGTGAGGAGAAGCATTCTCCCCATTTCACAGATGGGGAAATTCAGGCACAGAGAAGGGAAATGATTTGTCTAAGGTCACCCAGCAGGACAGTGACAGAGCCGGGCAACAAACATCTGTGTTGATACCCTCCCAAGCAACTGGCATAGCCAACAGGCCACATAAACCAAGTGGCACTCTGTGCTCGATTGCAGAATCAGGCCGCCGGTTACATACATATAAAATTCCCAAAGCGCTCTAACGACTCTAGCTGTAGAGGTATAAATGGTCCTTTCATCCAGGGAGAGGGCAGAGCTCCCAGCCAACTCTATACATGCACATCCAGGGCCTGATGTAACGTGGTCAGGGGGACATACAGAAACCCTCTCCTCACACTGGGATGCCTGTTCTAGTCAGTTCTCTACTGCTGCATGGCCTTATAGCCTTCTTTCTCTACGGGGGACCCTATGACTTGTCCCCTCTCTACATATAGGGACCCTATAGCCCCCTTTTTCATTTCTGGGGACCACATATGCCCTGTCCCTAAAAGGAACTACATGGCCTCATTCCCTCTCCGTATAAGAAATCCCCTTTCTGTCTATGGGACTGCACCTCCCTCGGGACCCCCATGCCTCCCTCTGTGCGTGGGGAATGCCTATTCCCCCCCCATAGGGAACTCCAGCTCCACAGACCCCAGGGCCCGCCCGCCTTCTCCACCGGGGACTCCCCCACCACAGGAGATCCTAATACCGGGAGGGGGGAGGGGACCCCATTACCGGCCGCCTCCAGCTTGACACCGTTCGCTGCTGCCGCCACCGTGCAGGGATCAACATGGAGCCGCCTCCTCCTCGACCCCCCCCGCCCGCGCCGCGGGGCCAGGATGGGATGGGCGGGGCTATCGCCAGGAGGGAGGGAGAAGGCAGAGAGCCGACCGTCCCCGAGAGGCATGCCGGGAAATGTAGTCCCTTTGCCATCCCATCTGGTACGAACCCATTTCAACGAACTATGGCGTCAGAGGACTACAAATTCCAGCAACCATCCGGGCGGGCGCCCTCGCTACACGGGGAGCCTCTCTTTGGGTAGCTCTATTGTCCAGGACTATGTCTCTCGGCAGCCTCCTTGGGAGAGTAACTGCGGACCTGGCTGCTCTGGGCCCCACGCCACCCAAAGCATTCTCAGAGCAGAGCCTGGGATAATGCCCAGGCTTGCGAGAGTAAGAGATAGTGGTTGGCTCCTGGGAGTCCAAGGCAGGAGCCCTGACTGATTACAGAGCACTGGCAGAGCTTTGCATATAGGGCTCTGTATGAATGGTGCATCTTCCACAAAGACAGATGAGCCCTGCCTGGCCCTTCCCTGCAACCTGTGCATTGCCTTTGCTCACAATGCTTCTAGCTGGGCTTTGCGCCTTTCTTCTAGCCAGTGCATTATCTTTGCCTGTACATGTGGCTTCTTCCCATAGCTCCATTCACTGCAGCTCTCTTGCAGCTATTCTAAACAGTTCCTTCAAATGCTGTAGTTAAACTTGCTTCCTGGCTTCTGAGGAAGAGTCCCAAGGTATGAGACTGAGTCCTGGAACTGACAGCAAAAAGGAAGGAACTTTGTGGGCTGGCTGTAGAAGAGGAGTCATGCACAGCAGGTGGGCAGGCCTTTACACATGTATTGTTGTTGTTATTAATGTATTCCAGTAGTACCTACAGGCCCCAACACAAGGTAGACTTGAACCTGGGATGTCTAAAGCTTAATATAGGAGCCTCTACCCTGTGAGCTAAAAGCCAGCTGACTTTTAGCCCATGCTGTAGAGCAGGCATGTCAAACTGGCATTTAGGGGGCTGCATGCAGCCTGATCGAAATTTTTTGCGGCCCCCCCACTACATTTTTATAAAAGAATGAAGTGCAGCCCACTGGCCGCTCAGAGCATGTGGCCAAGTGCCTGCTCACAGTTGGCCGGGACACTACGCTACAGCAACTTCTCACGGCGGGCTGGGCTGCACCACGCATGCACGTATGGCCGGCTGGCAACTCTGCACTGGGCTCTCCAGCATATTCAACATTTAAAAGTACTTAAATTTATATTTAAATTAAAAAATATGTAAAATTAATTTTAAAATTAATGAGCAAATAATTTTATACATCAAATTATTGCAATATTATAAAATAACTAAAACAATCTAGAATAATAAATAATTATGACTGTCAAAAGCCCTATGGTTGCCAGGTGTCCAGTATTTGTGCCTTCTGCCTGGCACCTAAAATGGGTTTGTTTGTTTTTCCTCAACCAATTTTTTTCTTTTTTGGTCAAACAATGTGGCCCTGAAAGCTATCAGTTTTCATTTACATCGAGTTTGACATGCCTGCTGTAGAGGCCTCGGCTACGTCTACACTGGCCCCTTTTTCGAAAGGGGCATGCTAATTTTAAACTTCGGAATAGGGAAATCCGCGGGGGATTTAAATATCCCCCGCGGGATTTAAATAAAGATGTCCGCCGCTTTTTTCCGGCTTGGGGAAAAGCCGGAAAAAAGCGTCTAGACTGGCCCGATCCTCCGGAATAAAGCCCTATTCCAGAGGATCTCTTATTCCTACTTTGAAGTAGGAATAAGAGATCCTCTGGAATAGGGCTTTATTCCGGAGGATCGGGCCAGTCTAGACGCTTTTTTCCGGCTTTTCCCCAAGCCGGAAAAAAGCGGCGGACATCTTTATTTAAACCCCGCGGGGGATATTTAAATCCCCCGCGGATTTCCCTATTCCGAAGTTTAAAATTAGCATGCCCCTTTCGTTCCCCTTTGAAGTAGGAATAAGACCCTCCGGAAAAGGGCGCTTTTTCCGGAGGATCGGGGCCAGTGTAGACGCTCTTTTCCGGCTTTTCTAAAAGCCAGAAAAAAGCGGCGGACATTTTTATTTAAATGCCGCGGGGGATATTTAAATCCCCCGCGGATTTCCCTCCTACTACGATAGTTGAAATTAACATGCCCCTTCCGGAAAAGGGGCCAGTGTAGATGAGCCCTAGGTCTGTGGGTTACACAACTTTTATTAATAACTCATTTTTTACAAAATGCCTAAAAGTTTCATCAGTTTCCAAGCAATTTTACTTGTGGCATCTGTGCTGCTAGCAGGGCTTACTCAGTGTTCAGTCAGTACTCACTTTAGTGTCCCTATGCAACACGATGGGGGTGGGGGAGGGCACTGTGCTGCAGAGTGAGTAACTCAGTAGGGGGCACTCTTCACTCACACGCCAGACTGGCCCCATGCTGCACGAGAGGGGGTTCAATAAGCAATGCTGTTTCTTAAACACAGTGTAGAAAGAAGCTGGTTGAAGAGCCCCCACATTTTATTACACTTTGCTTGGAAAAGAACCCAGGAGTCCTGATTCCCAGTTGTTCCCAACCTGACTAGAAGCCACTCCCTGTTCTGATCCTACCTCTTAGATAATGCTGCAGTATTCCTGTATGTGGAAACAAAGATTCCCTCCAATAGGCACTCAGGAAGAGAAACAGCTCTGATGGGAATACGTTTGAAAGCAAATATACATTAGCAACTGTTTAGTTTCTGCTGATACATCAGAAACGCCATATATTCAAATATCTGAACTACAGTCTCTTCCATTTTGCCCTAAAAGGCACGGACAATCTTGTCCTGTGAGGCATGCAATGATCCAATTGCTTAACCAGAGAACGGAAAGGTAAAATCACTCTGATAAGGAAACAAAAGATGTTATCTTAACTACACCAATAGACAGCAAAGCATAGATAGCTCCAACCAGATCCACAGCAAATCCCTGGAATGAGTGCAGCTCTGGTGCAGCCATGCAGGGCTGTTGGCACATGTTGGATGCCAGCTTTTGGAGTCATGACTGCATCAAAAGCTCAGTTTCCATTTATAAAACAAAGGAAGTTTCCAGCTTCTGTGGTTGTGGAGAAAAGTTTGAAAGGATAATTCAGCTGTAACTAATGCTGCCTGCATCTGCAGAGAGCCTGAGGCAATAGCTCAAAGCACAGGGAGCTGCTACCATGACCTCGTACATGACCAAGGCAGCCATACCTGCCTGACAGTCACTCAGGGGAGCAACCCTGTACTCCTCAGTGGGGAGTTAAGTCCCAGCCCCATAGGTCTTGGGAAGGGCTGGTTTGAAAGGAAATGGATTTAAATGTCTTTTTGATTTGCGAGAAAAGAGAAAAAACAGCAAAAAGAGAGAATGGGAAAATAAAGAAAAGGAAAGTGACAAAAGGCAAACGGATGAAATAAGAAAGGGGAGGAGAGAAAATACGAGAAAGGCTGAAGGGGAATAAATGAAAGACAAATTCTCCTTTCCCATTAAACTCGAACCAAAGAATCAATTCAGCAGCCGCCCGGTCTCGACTCAGCAGGGCGTCACCCGCCCTAGTCTGGTTTTCTGGAGCCTAAAGCACATATGTTAATCGGATCTATTGCGCATGCGTAAAAGGGGAGCCCACTCCGCCCTTGCCCACATTTGGCGCATGCGTAATAAGCAACCTCAAACCCTAAAACTCAGAAGGCGTAGTGAATACCTGGCGTCCGTTGACGCCTGCGCGTTGCGAGCGCCTCTCTGTTCCAGTGGCTCACGCCTGGTGCTCAACCGTCCAGCCTCTAGCTACAAGCGCTTGCGCGGGGTACGCCTTCTTCTCGGCCCTCCCCCATGGCGCATGCGCAGTTGCTATCCTGCAATCCGTCCTAGCTAGGACAGCCGAGCTCGGTTGCGCGGTGTCAGTCTACTCGGTATCTTCCCGCCGTGAGGGACGGACGTTTAGTGCTAGGCTCCCGT